ATTTTTTTGGGCTCCGTGTCTCCGGATTCACTTACAACCAAATATCACCTACAGTGGGGAAAAAAGTATTTAGTCAGCCACCAATTGTGCAAGTTCTCCCACTTAAAAAGATGAGAGAGGCCTGTAATTTTCATCATAGGTAAACGTCAACTATGACAGACAAAATGAGAAATAAATCCAGAAAATCACATTGTAGGATTTTTAATGAATTTATTTGCAAATTATGGTGTAAAATAAGTATTTGGTCAATAACAAAAGTTTCTCAATACTTTGTTATATACCCTTTGTTGGCAATGACACAGGTCAAACGTTTTCTGTAAGTCTTCACAACGTTTTCACACACTGTTGCTGGTATTTTGGCCCATTCTTCCATGCAGATCTCCTCTAGAGCAGTGATGTTTTGGGGTTGACGCTGGGCAACACAGACTTTTCTATGGGGTTGAGATTTGGAGACTGGCTAGGCCACTCAAGGACCTTGAAATGCTTCTTACGAAGCCACTCCTTCGTTGCCCGGGCGGTGTGTTTGGGATCATTGTCATGCTGAAAGACCCAGCCACGTTTCATCTTCAATGTCCTTGCTGATGGAAGGAGGTTTTCACTCAAAATCTCACGATACATGGCCCCATTCATTCTTTCCTCTTTCGTCCTGGTCCCTTTGCAGAAAAACAGCCCCAAAGCATGATGTTTCCACCCCCATGCTTCACAGTAGGTATGGTGTTCTTTGGATGCAACTCAGCATTCTTTGTCCTCCAAACACGACGAGTTGAGTTTTTACCAAAAAGTTATATTTTGGTTTCATCTGACCATATGACATTCTCCCAATCCTCTTCTGGATCATCCAAATGCACTCTAGCAAACTTCAGACGGGCCTGTACATGTACTGGCTTAAGCAGGGGGACACGTCTTGCACTGCAGGATTTGAGTCCCTGGCGGCGTAGTGTGTTACTGATGGTAGGCTTTGTTACTTTGGTCCCAGCTCTCTGCAGGTCATTCACTAGGTCCCCCCATGTGGTTCTGGGATTTTTGCTCACCGTTCTTGTGATCATTTTGACCCCACGGGGTGAGATCTTGCGTGGAGCCCCAGATCGAGGGAGATTATCAGTGGTCTTGTATGTCTTCCATTTCCTAATAATTGCTCCCACAGTTGATTTCTTCAAACCAAGCTGCTTACCTATTGCAGATTCAGTCTTCCCAGCCTGGTGCAGGTCTACAATTTTGTTTCTGGTGTCCTTTGACAGCTCTTTGGTCTTGGCCATAGTGGAGTTTGAAGTGTGACTGTTTGAGGTTGTGGACAGGTGTCTTTTATACTGATAACAAGTTCAAACAGGTGCCATTAAAACAGGTAACGAGTGGAGGACAGAGGAGCCTCTTAAAGAAGAAGTTACAGGTCTGTGAGAGCCAGAAATATTGCTTGTTTGTAGGTGACCAAATACTTATTTTCCACCATCATTTGCAAATAAATTCATAAAAAATCCTACAATGTGATTTTCAGGAAAAAAAAATCTCAATTTGTCTGTCATAGTTGACGTGTACCTATGATGGAAATTTCAGGCCTCTCTCATCTTTTTAAGTGGGAGAACTTGCACAATTGGTGGCTGACTAAATACTTTTTTCTCCCACTGTATTTATATTTTGACATGGCCTATTGATTAATGAGAAACACAATTAATCTTATTAATTTGTGCTATAATTTGCCATTTACCTTGAAACATAATATAATTATAAGTTGTTTACATTGTTGTGTCTCAATGGGTCACTAGGCTTAAATAGGAGCTAAGTGCAATGGTCAGGTCACTCTGAGGAAGATGTTAGCTTGACGTCGAAACATCAGTCACCTGTTCGCATCCTGTACAATGGATTAAAGTGAGCAAAAATAAATCAATTTCTGCCTTTTTTTATTGAGTGCACCAATGCTTTTTTCCTCAAATTAGTCCTTTTGGAAGTTTTTCTTGGTAAGCCATTCTCACTTCTTATGATGGAAAAACTGCCATTCACTGTCTGAAATCAGTTGATGATAGGACTTAGACAAGTTGTAAATGCAACAAGTACTGATATTGTATCATATAATAGCACTCACAGCATTTTGCCCCCCCCCAAAATTGGACACATTTATGGTCTGTTTACATATATTTTAGAGGGTATTTATACAGAAAATGTGTATAAACTGTATTTAGAATTATATGACAATTTCTGATATATCACATGCCTTATTTTTATTTTCCTACATAAGTAAAATCATGATTATGCCTCTACTACCATTCATTCCAATTAGACTGGGTTGGATTTCTCCCTGACCAACATGGCTGCCATTTTGACCCCATTCTGGAACTTTGAGGGTTTATTGCATAGCCCCTCTAGTAATTTAATAGGATCTCTATGGTTCCATCACTGTTCTATTTAGAGCTTAGTCTGTTTACTGTCTGATACTCTTACACAAACTCAGTGCTAGTGTCCATAAAAGCATGAACACAACAACAGGAGGCAACACTGTGCCAGGTTTCGAAATAGACCGACTGGAACTACATTTTTAAAAAGTCATTTATAAATGAAGTGGGAGAAACATTTTGAATTGTGTAAATCGTATGTTTTGTGTATTTGACATTTTGCATTTGTGTATTTGCAATTTTGGAATAATAAACTTATGTAAAAATAAAGATAGTCGCGTTCTCTATACTGTATATGCTCTTAATAATTTAATGGGTAAACACCGAATCAGCAGGTTGAGTTAAAATGTTTTCTTAAAACGTGTTGATGCTGTTCAGCTGTGGTCCAACGTTGAGCAACCATTCCAGTTTGCAGTTTCCAGAATGCAGTTTAGTGCTGTCTTTCACAATATTATGACACAATCCCTGTACACTTGATCTCCATGTCCCATAACTCCATGCTCCTACAGTATCCACTTCAACCTTCTCTTTCTGTGGAAGCCCATCGTTCCTTCCTTCAGACCTGACCTTTTACCGAAGGATACAGTTTCTCTTCCCCGACTTGAGTCTTTCTTAAAATAAATAGCCCTTCGACCCCCCCCCCCCCCCCCCCCCGCTCCCCGCACCCACTGTCTCTCACCCACTCCTCAATATTCACCTTCTAAGGCCATCGTGACAGCTGCCCAAAGTGGTGGAAAGCTTCGGGTAGGAATTAATACACCTCCACCCCTGTCAATGTACCCCACCCCAAGTTCTCCCGTTCAAAAACATATTTTAAGAGGGAGGGGGACTTAGAGAGCCAAGAGAAGCTACAAGTTGTTTGACAAAGTGACAAGACAGCAATGACCAGGCAGTGCTATGCGGGATCATCATTCAGGCCAGTGGCTTGGGTTACAGTTGTAGTCCTACAACTTTAACCCTTTACACTCGTACCCTTATACGGGTTCAAAATGGCAGATTTGGACACTGATAAGCTGCTAAATTGGAAAACAGTGGCTGGTCAGTAACATGCTATACATGACGTCAGAGCTCAGGCTCTGCGCTTCACAGCGCTTTATGGGTTTTGACTGAACTTGAGCACCGCGCATGACAAGAAGTTGCACCCATCCCTCCCTCTAATTGGTCAACTTTTGCAAATGTTTTGGAAATGCTGTAAATTATGAGGAGACATTGAGGACAATAATAAAAATACCGCTTTGAGGTCATACGAGCAAGCCAAACACCCATGAGTCCTAATATGCACTTCACATTTCCATATCATAAAACTCATGTAATATACAGTGTCAATGTTTGTGATCACTATGTCTGATGTACAGTTACAAGATGACATTGTGTTTTACCCTGCGTTGTCCTTAACAGAATGAGTATTTGTTTTTTGTATTGTGAAGAAAATATGGCACGGACCACGCATCTGAATGCACTTATGACTCCATTCTATGAGCTCCAAAATTAAGATCTGCTTCTCTGAATTGCCTTGTGAAAGTCTAACACCTTAAGATCATATTTTATAATTTAGCTAGTCATGTTGGCAATAGAATACGTTTTCAAATTATGCACACCTGACCCAGATTCTGATTTATAATGGACCGTTTTTGGATTGCGTAAACAACAAAGGTAATTGTGTAAAGGCTGGGATGCAGGGCTGTTCCAAAAAACAACAACTACAAGTGTGCTTGCTGTGGTTACTCAACAGCACAGCTAGGAGAGCAAAAAAAAAGCATTATAGATGAAGATTCTTCTTTGAATCATAAAAGTGCATTGAAATTATTTAGGAACTGTGCACACTTTGGAGAGGTGTGTGGCCACATCGAAACACCAGTTAGACGTCTCACTCAAAGCCTTGTCATGTTTTTGTCTTATGTTGCATCAACAAATTCGGCAAAAAGTACAGTAAATGTAAAATGGAGCTAAAATCAACAGTGTAATGTTTGGATTCAGTATTGTGTCAGGTGAACTGTTGTGTCCTGACCTTTAGACTAATAATTTTCCAATAGTCTACAGTGTTCCTTTTTAATTGCTACCATGGTTATGCATATGTTTTCCATATTTCTTCTGTAAGAAACATTTCAATTTAGCCCTATCCATATAGGCCAATTCCACAGCTGTTTGGTATCAACTAATGGTCATACTAATTAAAGGGTATTAACAGAAAAAGTGCAGAGGGGGTATGAGTGGGTATGGGGGGTGGTCCACCCCCAAAAATTATAAAATAAGTATTTTCTTCTCACTCTGGGTTGGGAAGGGAATGAAAAATGAAAAAGAATAATTAAATAATAATATTAAAATCTTGAAATAACTTGTTATTGGGGAGCGATTTTCACAAAGTTTACAAAAATCTTGTTCAGGTGGGATGAATAATTGGGGGAAGCCAAATCTACTAAGATTTAATTGAATTGACAATCAATGAAATTATTGTTAAATAACGAGACCCAATAAGATCTGCACTTTAAAAAAAATATATACGATATTAGAGTGTGTAATTTGTGTGTTTTTCCAGTGACGTATTACTACTACTACTACGATTACTACGATTACTATTACCAAATCATGATCAAAATAGCCTGGGATTAAATTATACTAGCGTAGTCTTTGTTTACTCACAAAAGAGATGCAGGCAGCCAGCAGCAGGATTCTGACCAACAGATCCTCAAACTGCTCCACAATAAGCTCCCAGGTGGTCTTACCTGAGAGAGAGAGAGAGAGAGAGAGAGAGAGAGAGAGAGAGAGAGAGAGAGAGAGAGAGAGAGAGAGAGAGAGAGAGAGAGAGAGAGAGAGAGAGAGAGAGAGAGAGAGAGAGAGAGAGAGAGAGAGAGAGAGAGAGAGAGAGAGAGAGAGAGAGAGAAACAAGTATTATTTTTAAATAATCTGAGAATCTGTGTGTATTTGTTATTTTTGTTTAAGTGTCTGGGGGGCAAGATCATTAGTATGCTGAAGGCGGTGTGAGAGTGATAATGTATGGAATTTTTTGCTTGTTTTCAAACCCAAAATAGGTGAGGGAAAATGACCATGTAAAAGTAATCTATTGATTGATTTGCATTGATTTGGAGTCATATGTCTATAAATGTGGAAGCCCATTTACCAGGATTATACAAGAGTGTGAGGATTATGCAGTACTGTGCAAGGAATTCCACAATCAAACGGTTGCTTGCATGCTACAATTAACCCCTGATAAAGGTTGATTTTATTTTGGATCGAAGCCAGTGGATCGAATGGATCGAATCACGTGTAAAAATCACGTGTAAAAAGTAGCAATAATATTGATAAAAGATTGGTACATTTCCACAATGTGGTTCTTATTTGTGACAGTTCAAGTGACGAAAAACACTTACCCTCCTCAGCTGGCAGCGCTGGGGTTGTCCAATCATGATGCAGAGAAGGAGGGCAGAACAGAAAATAATTATGAGCACAATAGAAAAGTTATTATTAATCATAACTGTATGATATGTCAAACTTATCTTAGTTCAAACCACTTGGACTGTGCATATATTCAATTAAAAATATGGGCTATTTATCTCCAGCATGTTCTATTTTCCCTAATCGTGGTTCTAATAGTAGTGAAAAGCTGCGTCAAAAATCTGATATACTGACTAATGAAATGGAATGTCATGACTAAAAATGTTTTAGTCATGACATTACATTTCTATATCCTGACTTTCAACCATTTTGGATTAACCAATAACAAAAATCAGACCAAGCCAGACTGTGCTTTAAAGTGTCTTAGTGCACAACACATCCGATAAATAATGTATCTGTGTTTCAACTATTGCTTTGTGGTCCTCTGTAGCTCAGCTGGTAGAGCATGGCGCTTGTAACGCCAAGGTAGTGGGTTTGATCCCCGGGACCACCCATACACACACAAAAAAAATGTATGCACGCATGACTGTAAGTTGCTTTGGATAAAAGCGTCTGCTAAATGGCATATTATTATTAAAATCGGGAAGAACAAACAAATTAAACATTAAATTCTGAGTGCCCATAAACTAGCCATAAACCAGAAATGCAATGAAATGTAGCCCATGGAATTGTCGACAATTATCTGATAACAGTAATTGCCATGTTGCTGATTGTGGTCTTTACTGTAAGTTTATTGATACACTTGCTTACTCATCAAATCCTTTTTTTTGCTACAAAAGCATCATCGTTAGCAAATTGTAGCCATAAATGCAAATTGTAGCCAGCTTATGCAATGCTAAATGAACACAGAATGGTGTGGGCATTTCAGCAAGCCAATCGAAGCCGACTTCCATCTAACTTTGCTTGGTCTATGTAGTTCACGCTGCATTAAAATGGTCATTGATCAGTGATCATATTTCAGATCATTCATCCCCGTTAGCCATCTAAGGACCTCCCCCTCTGCATTGGGCCTAAAATTATCCCCCCTCTCTGTTAATGCTCGCCCTGCATATTACCCAGGAAGACTCTTGAGCCGTCACCTGTCTCGCTCTCCACTCTTCCTTTCCTCTTTAATTAGCTCTTCAAAGCCCCAAAAGTATCTGCTTCTCCAAGTCTCTGTATGTCCTTGTCTACCACCTGTTGCAACTAACCTAACCCATTTCTAAAAAAGAATCGAACACAGAACATTACTGCGTGCTGCAAGTGTCCCTAACAAAAAAATCAGTCTTGTTGTTGACAACTTGTCAACTTCAAAGTTAGCATGACTTGTGATATCGTTAAGAGATATTATCGTTTTTTCACATACTAAACATTACGCAGGTTGACATTTATTGTCATGAATCTTGTCTTGGAGGCAGAACTGAGCGATTTCCGGCCAGTTGCAAAGTCAGAATTGGCTATATCATAAAATAAATGCTTTTGATTTTAATTTAAGGTTACAGTTAGCAGTGTGGTTAAGGTTAGGGTTAAGGTTAGGTTTAGGTTTAAAATCAGATTTAATGTCTGTGGCTGTGCCAGCGAGTGACCACTCTGTAGAGCTGCCAGGGCAAGATTCATGACAATAAATGCAAACCTGCAAACATCACCCATCTACTACTTGTAAATGTCTACCACAGTGGTCTCTAATCTTTCGGCACAGTGCACACCTCCTGTACTTTGTCTATTCGACCGTCAGTTGCCATTTATTTTCTATGTTCCCCTTCATTCATGCACCCCTACATCCCTCCGTGGGTCTCACCATTGGGGCCATACTTGGCAAGGTTCTTCTTGACTTGGTCTGGGGTAAGACCGGTTTCCATGTTCACCCCGAAGAAGGCCAGGCATTCTGCCGGCGTCTTCGTGTGCGCGTTCTCCATCCTTGCCACTAGCCGTGTCTATCCGTACTCTTTTGATTTTTGTTGCGTTGCTCCTTTTTTTAAAGTGTGGTGCTAGGACTTGTATTGGTCCCTTGGTTTTTTCGACCCCTCCACAAGCAGGAGTGCTGGACTGACAGAAAGGTGAATGAGCAAACACTGCTGCAGGGTTTTATATCAACACGGGCCACACTATTGGTGGGGACCCCACAGGTACACGCCTCTAAATTCCAGCATGAGAGATATGGGATGGTTAAGGTGGGGCTAGAGGTGGAGTAATAGGGGAGGTGAGCTGGTAGACTTGGACAGGAACTGTGGACAAGCCTTGGCTAGGTGGAGGAGGGGGTAGTAGGGTGGAAGGCGTGTGTGGGGTGGGGGGGTGGGAGGGGAGTACGGAGTTGAAGGGAGGGGGTGTACCATGGATGAAAATTAGATCTGTTTTTGGAACATGCATAGTCAGTGGAATAAGGATAGGGGAGAAGGTGAGAGAATGAGACAGAAGTTCGTGCAGGGGGAGGAGGGGAAACATTAAGTGACAGCTCAACTGGTTTCTGCTGAGGAAGGGGGCAGAGACAGACAAAGAGTAGGAGACGGATAGAGACAGAGATGGTGCAAGCTTAAAGAGCGACTGCCTTTAAAAAGCAACTAATCCCTTTGAAAACGGCCTATGTGGAATCAATATGAGTTATTCTTCTGTCAAAATTAACTACAAAGTGTAAAAACATTATAGCCTTATTCTAAAATTGATACAATTATTTTTTCCCTCATCAATCTACACACAATACCCCATAATGACGAAGCAAAAACAGGTTTTTAGAAATGTTTGCAAATGTATTAAAAATAAATAACAGAAATACCTTATTAGCGTTCAGACCCTTTGCTATGCTAAATTGAGCTCAGGTGCATCCTGTTTCCATTGATCATCCTTGAGATGTTTCTACAACTTGATTGGAGTCCACGTGTGGTAAATTCAATTGATTGGACAAGATTTGGAATGGCACACACCTGTCTATACAGTGGGGGGAAAAAGTATTTAGTCAGCCACCAATTGTGCAAGTTCTCCCACTTAAAAAGATGAGAGAGGCCTGTAATTTTCATCATAGGTACACGTCAACTATGACAGACAAAATGAGAAGAAAAAAAATCCAGAAAATCACATTGTAGGATTTTTAATGAATGTATTTGCAAATTATGGTGGAAAATAAGTATTTGGTCAATAACAAAAGTTTCTCAATACTTTGTTATGTACCCTTTGTTGGCAATGACACAGGTCAAACGTTTTCTGCAAGTCTTAACAAGGTTTTCACACACTGTTGCTGGTATTTTGGCCCATTCCTCCATGCAGATCTCCTCTAGAGCAGTGCTGTTTTGGGGCTGTCGCTGGGCAACACGGACTTTCAACTCCCTCCAAAGATTTTCTATGGAGTTGAGATCTGGAGACTGGCTAGGCCACTCCAGGACCTTGAAATGCTTCTTACGAAGCCACTCCTTCGTTGCCCGGGCGGTGTGTTTGGGATCATTATCATGCTGAAAGACCCAGCCACGTTTCATCTTCAATGCCCTTGCTGATGGAAGGAGGTTTTCACTCAAAATCTCACGATACATGGCCCCATTCATTCTTTCCTTTACACGGATCAGTCGTCCTGGTCCCTTTGCAGAAAAACAGCCCCAAAGCATGATGTTTCCACCCCCATGCTTCACAGTAGGTATGGTGTTCTTTGGATGCAACTCAGCATTCTTTGTCCTCCAAACACGACGAGTTGAGTTTTTACCAAAAAGTTATATTTTAGTTTCATCTGACCATATGACATTCTCCCAATCCTCTTCTGGATCATCCAAATGCACTCTAGCAAACTTCAGACGGCCCTGGACATGTACTGGCTTAAGCAGGGGGACACGTCTTGCACTGCAGGATTTGAGTCCCTGGCGGCGTAATGTGTTACTGATGGTAGGCTTTGTTACTTTGGTCCCAGCTCTCTGCAGGTCATTCACTAGGTCCCCCCATGTGGTTCTGGGATTTTTGCTCACCGTTCTTGTGATCATTTTGACCCCACGGGGTGAGATCTTGCGTGGAGCCCCAGATCGAGGGAGATTATCAGTGGTCTTGTATGTCTTCCATTTCCTAATAATTGCTCCCACAGTTGATTTCTTCAAACCAAGCTGCTTACCTATTGCAGATTCAGTCTTCCCAGCCTGGTGCAGGTTTCTGGTGTCCTTTGACAGCTCGTTGGTCTTGGCCATAGTGGAGTTTGTAGTGTGACTGTTTGAGGTTGTGGACAGGTGTCTTTTATACTGATAACAAGTTCAAACAGGTGCCATTAATACAGGTAACGAGTGGAGGACAGAGGAGCCTCTTAAATAAGAAGTTACAGGTCTGTGAGAGCCAGAAATCCTGATTGTTTGTAGTTGACCAAATACTTATTTTCCACCATAATTTGCAAATAAATTCATTAAAAATCCTACAATGTGATTTTCTGTAAAAAAAAATATTTGTTTGTCTGTCATAGTTGACGTGTACCTATGATGAAAATAACAGGCCTCTCTCATCTTTTTAAGTGGGAGAACTTGCACAATTGGTGGCTGCCTAATTACTTTTTTCCCCCACTGTAGGCCTAATAAAATACTTCAAATGGTAGGCTAACCGCAGAGTCTTGGTCACTCTCTCTCTCACTCTTTCTCTCTCTGTGGTGACTTAAAGAAGAGTAAAGTTAAGCCCTCAACATCTTGCAGAATTTATCTGAATTTCTGTCGCTGTCCATTTCGAAATTGCTGAACAAATAGGCCAACCTCATCGCAGCTCATTTGCTTGCACTTGCTTATACTTAGAGCTAAGTGTTAATTATATAAGAACAAACATTATGAATTTACTGAACATAAATTTAATAATGGTTGTGTATGGTTCAAAAGTCATAACTCATGTCGACATTCATTATTATTGAAGGACAATGCGGTTCTTATCTAGTTACACAAATCCACAAGGAGTCAGTAGAAACCATATTTATTTAAGCAAGTAAGCCATAATCTCCACTGTCGGGACAGCTTTATATAGACCCTAAAAGTTTGTGGGCACCGCTTGTCTCCGTTATAGTGCATTTAATGGGCCCCGTGTAGCTCAGTTGGTAAAGCATGGCGCTTGCAACGCCAGGGTTGTGGGTTCGTTTCCCACGGGGGGCCAGTATGAAAATGTATGCACTCACTAACTGTTTATGCGCTCTGGATAAGAGCGTCTGCTAAATGACTAAAATGTAAATGTATTGTTTAGAGTTGTGTAGTGGCTTCGCTGGCATGCATTTAAAAAAAATGGTTGTTTGCCCCACCAAGATTGACATGTTAAAATTGCCACTGAACATTGGGTGAACAGCTGTGGTGATTGCTCTCTATCCAATAGCATAGACAGTGAGACAGACCTGCCCAGCAGCCCGACTTTGTTTACCTAAGACAACACATCCATTTTTTTCCACGAGGAGGTTCTTCAAATAGCCACCCTTTTCCTTGATAACAGCTTTGCACACTCTTGGCATTCTTTCAACCAGCTTCACCTGGAATGCTTTTCCAACAGTCATGAAGGAGTTCCCACATATGCTGAGCACTTGTTGCCTGCTTTACCTTCACTCTGCGGTCCGACTCATCACAAACCATCCCAATTGGGTTGAGGTCGGGGGATTGTGGAGGCCAGGTCATCTGATGCAGCACTCCATCACTCTCTTTCTTGGTAAAATAGCCCTTACACCGCCTGGAGGTGTTGGGTCATTGTCCTGTTGAAAAACAAATTATAGTCCCACTAAGCCCAAACCAGATGGGATGGCGTATCGCTGCAGAATGCTGTTGTAGCCATGCTGGTTAAGTGTGCCTTGAATTCTATATAAATCACAGACAGTGTCACCAGCAAAGTAACCCCACATCATAACACCTTTACGGTGGGAAATACACATGCGGAGATCATCCGTTCACCCATACCACGTCTCACAAAGCCACGGCAGTTGGAACCAAAAATCTCCAATTTGGACTCCAGACCAAAGGACAAATTTCCACCGGTCTAATATGTTTTTTGTCCCAAGCAAGTCTCTTATTATTATTGGTGTCCTTTAGTAGTGGTTTCTTTGCAGCAATTTGACCATGAAGACCTGATTCACACAGTGTCCTCTGAACAGTTGATGTTGAGGTGTGTCTGATACTTGAACTCTGTGAAGTATTAATTTGGGCTGCAATTTCTGAGGCTGGTAACTCTAATGAACTTATCCTCTGCAGCAGAGGTAACTATGGGTCTTCCATTCCTGTGGCGGTCCTCATGAGATCCAGTTTCATCATAGCGCTTGATGGTTTTTGAGACTGCACTTGAAGAAACTTTCAAAGTTCTTGAAATGTTCCGTATTGACTGACCTTCATGTCTTTAAGTGATGATGGACTGTCATTTATCTTTGCTTATTTGAGCTGTTCTTGCCATAATATGGACTTGGTCTTTTACCAAATAGGGCTATCACAACACAACTGATTGGCTCAAACGCATTAAGAAGGAAATAAATTCCACAAATTAACTTTTAAGAAGGCACACCTGTTAATTGAAATGCATTCCAGGTGACTACCTCATGAAGCTGGTTGAGAGAATGCCAAGAGTGTTGTGAGAGAAAGATTTCATATTTACCTGATTTGTTTAATATGAATAGTTAACAATTAATATGCTTAACAATAGTATAGACATTTCTTTAGTGCACTTGCTGTGCTACTGAGAAAGGATGGTTCCCTCTAGCTCCCTGCAGCTGGTCTGGGCGTGTAGTCAAGGTCATGGGATAGAGATGAACTTGAGGAACAGATAGACCTGTATTGTTTCAATTTCTCGTTGCTTCTGAGTAACCTGGTCACACGGCGTAAGTCAAAGAGCCTCAGAGTGACAACAGTTTTTCAGTTCATCCTGTCTTTTACTATCTTCTAAGGGCACAGCTGTGTGGAGATGTGAGTAATAACGGAACTAACATTATCACTTCTTTCTGCGCTATGACCCGATA